TGAGGCAACAGGCCTTTGGCTCCCCAGAGCCGGGACTGGGGGGGGGCGGGCCCCCCGATTTCTAGCAGTTTGGGAGCAGTTTGGTTGCCGTTGGTCAAGCGACACCCCACGTGGAGCTGGATTTATAGACAAATCCAAGCACGGCAAGGTAGCTGCTAGGGTTTTTTCACTATTGCACTCTTTAGTCTCTGTAATTCCCTGTTTGCTTCACACCCTATTTTTGCTAAGGGGAAAAAAAAACCCCAAACATTTATAACAATTCTGTCTATCCCCTAGCAGGAGAAAACAAAGATCGGAGTGAGCCTAGCAGGGGTCACCGATTAACCATCCAGCAGCAGCCTGGCTAACCTGCTTGCTCAACAGTCCTTCAGTCCTAGCAAACGCAAGCTTGTGCTCCTTCACTGGCCGGCTCCCATCAGCCAGCCCCGCACCACAGCATATGAAAACGTAATAGTTCTTGGCCTTCATAGTGGTTTTCTTTTTTTCATCTTTCTGGCGTACCTTTCCAAAGCCTTTGCCAGCTTTCTCCATAAATACGAGAGGATAGGGATGTCTACTGAAAATATGTGTATCTACACGCACATATGTGGTAGACAAGAGAATATCCTGGCCCTGGGAGATGGGGCTTTCTGAGAAAGCAGGCAGGACCCTAAGCATCCAGGAGAAATCTGGAGGGGGTGACCCCTACACGATTGATGCTCGTGTGGTCCCAGCACCAGCCATGCCTAGAGGAGGGTTCTCGGGGCAGCTTTGAAGCCACAATTCATCCGGCTCCCTGTGAGAGCCTCAGAGCCCAAAAACCACTGGGGACCCTCACACAGCGAGGCCCCGGGTATGTGCACAGCCCAGAAACCAGCCGCCCCCCCAGCCAGCCGAGGAGCCAAAGCAAAGCTTTAACTGGCTCTCTGACTTCAACAGCATGGGCTTAGCTGGGCTCCAGGAGGCAAAGCTTGTGCACGGGCAGGGATTGCCTTGCATCACTGCAAGAGAGGAAGGCACAAATACAGTAGACCTTCCACAGAGTCTGGTCTCTACCAGTACCCTGTGGCCTTTCCGAGCCCTTCATGAGCTGCCCACAGGCTCAGGACAACCTGTGGCCTGATGTACACCAGACCAACTGGGCTGGTGGCCACCTCCCCAGAGTGTCCTCAGCACCCTCCCTCTCCAACTAACCCACCACAGGTTTCATTTACCTTCAGGACAGCCTGGCTGCGTGGCACTGGATGCCAGGAAAAGGCAAGGCGAGAGGCGCCCAGGTGGCTTCTTCAGGGATCTTTGCCTTCCCTGAGGCTGTGAGGAACAGCTGGGTCTGGCTGCAGGGAAGATCACAACTCTAGGATCTGAGATACTCTTAAAATCAAAGTCCCCACCATGTTGGCATCCATCCTGGCTGTTCTGCAAGAGTCACCAGGAGCAGCAGCCTGGCCACGCAGTCCTCCAGGGCAGGGAGTCCCACAGCCGCGTTTGCTCCTCCAGGCAAAAGCAGGGAAATCTGAACCACGAAGGGGGGGGTGGATCACCCCACCCAGCTCCTGCTGACCTAAAGATCCCACTGTTCTCAGCCAGTCCACGCTGCAGCTTGTTCCCCTACGTAGCCAGGGTGCGGGGAAAGCCTCTCTGCCAGCCCTGCAGCCTGCCGGGTGGCACAGTTGCTGGAGAGGGTCCCCAGCTCTGCGGGGTGCCCGGGGATACTCACCTCCAGCAGATGACGAGGAGACACGGGCGAGCCAAGGGGCTGGCTTGACACGCGCCGGAGGGGTGCAGCACGAAGCACAAAGGCTCTCCCATCCTGGCCGCTCTGCCCTGGAACGCAGCATGGGAACCGCTGCCCAGTGCAAATCTGTTCCTCATTATCCATCCCGTCTGCTGACTGATCCCAGCTCCGTCACCAGCCACTCACCGCATAGCCCTGGCCAGCTCGCATCCCATCAGCCAAGCAACTTCTGCACAACTTCACCAGCCAGTGCAGTGGGGCGGACTGGGACCAGGGCTGCCATCTACCCCTCCAGAGGTAATTCTGGAGTGAAAATGAATCGTTCCCTCCACCAACAGGCAGAGGAGGCTTCCAGTGAAAGCAGGGAGCAGGGATGGCTGCTTCACATGTGAAGAGTGGGAAGGCAAACACTGGAGAATTCAGGAGAGGTGTTCAGTCTGACTGTATCCAGGTGAGATGGATGCCTGGACAGACAGGAGCAGGAAGGAGCAAAGAACGGACTGATGTGTCTCCAAAATATGTGTACCCAGATACGATCAGACTGAACTCCTGAATTCTCCTGCATTTGCCTTCCCGCTGTTCTCCATGAAAACGTGAGCGTGGCAAAAGCCTCTGCCAAGCTTTGTGCTTGCTGGGGCCAAGTGGGAGGTAAGAAGCTGGGCCCCCTCACTAGCTACCCACCGTTCGTGCCTGTAGAGGCCATTGTGAAAACGTCACGTGAGGGTGTCAGAAGTGCTCCAGAAAGAGAGCAGAATGAAAAATCACACAAGGTTGCCTGTGAGTCAACAGCACCCTTGCTGCAGTGGAGAATGTGAAGCTGGCAGATTCAAGGAAATTATTATTCCTCTTGACTTGGTACCTGTGAGACACAACTGGCTACCAGCTCCAACCTGGAGCTTCCCAGAACAAAATATAGACATAGATAGATAGATAGATAAGAGAGAAGCAGCTTTAGGAAGACAAGGCAAAGAGGGGAGCTATCTACAAGGGGAAACGGAGAAACCAGAGCCCAACTCTTCTCAGAGACACACTTGGAAGAACAAGAGGCAAGTGGGACAAGCTGCATGAGGGAAAATGTTTGCTGGGCATAAGGAGAAAATCATTCTGCACAAGAGTGGTGCAGCTGTGGTGTGGGTCCGGGACAGGGAGGTGGTGACCCCTCCATCCTTGGGGACTTTCCAAACCCAATGGGACAGGGCTCTGAGCTACCTGCTCTAGCTTTGCCACCAGCCCTGCATATAGCCAGTGTTGGACCACAGACCTCCTGAGCCCCTTCCAGCCTAAAATTTACCTGATGGTCCAACATGCATAGTGCAATGGTGAGGTGGTGATTTTAAGACAACTGCACAATGCTGCTGCTTAGGTGACTTGGGAGATGGCCAACACCAATCCATCACCCAGAGCTTGGCTTTTCCATCCAGCTGATGTTCCTGTTACCAGAGCTGCCTTACAACCCCTGCTGACTTCACAAGTTCTGGTACCATGGAGAAACTGGAGGACCTGAGCATTGGAGAAAGTAAATCCCCATGGAAAAAATGTGCAGGTTTAATGGCAGGCTCTAAGGAGAAGCCTGCGTGCAAAATGACAGGTCTGTGATAGCCAGGCAGCTTTGGGATGGGGTTGCTTATAGTAACAGTCAGAGGGTTGTATGTTCTGGGTTACAGTCTGACAAGCAGTTCCTTTGGTTATGCCTTAGTCTGTCCTGGAGACGCAGAGGTTTGGGCACATGTGTTCATGGTTTGGCCTGGTTCTTGTGTTTTTCCACTGAAGCACTTTAGTATTTTTAGGCTGAAAGACACAGCTTTGTGCTGTGCTGGAAGGGTCAGAGCAGTCCTGTGCAGGCAGGATGCTGCTGGCTATCTCTGCCTGTAAAGTGAAATACAGAGATTAGAATATGAGAATAAATACCAATAAAACCCTGTAGGGAAGGGTGTAGTAGGAGCCACCATCCCTGGTAACAACATCGCTAGAGTTGAGGGTGGGAGGAGGGGGCTCCAAGCTCACCAGTTGCTGGCTGGTGGCATGGAGAGCCTGCACACATGTTAGCTGCTAGGCTCAGATAACCAAGTGAGACAGCAGCAACCAGCCTCAGCATTTCCCAAAGCCGAGACATCTGCTTTTCCTCCTCTGAGGACCTGAATGCTGCAGACCCACCAATTCCAGGAAGACAACCTGGCCCACACAACCTGGTGCACCGCCAAGGTGATCGTGTCTGCAGGAAACGCTGGCACTGCGGTCCAGCACGCAGAGCACAGCTCGGCCAGCATTGCTGGCCAGTGGGATGTGAGGCAGATGGGAAACATCAGGAGGAGCAAGAGCTTCCGCAGGGACCAGTGCAAAGCTCTCAGGGCTAGGAGCTATACAGGGACACTGCCAAAAAGGACCTAGAGGTGACAGTAGATGCCAGGTTGAATACAAGCCAAACATCTATCTTGTGAATCAAGTAAACCCCATTTACTCTCCTTTAGGAGAAGCAGAGCCAGCAGATCGAGGGAAGAGCAAAGCCAGCACACACCAATGCAGGGAGGTTCCTGTGACCCAGAATACCCTGAAACAGATGCCTTTGAACCATATTTCTGGCAAAGAGAGAGGAAGCATTGACATGGGAAGATCTGGGCTCGCAGCATTCGGCTGCTGTGCAGGCAGCCATGACACCGGGCAGCAAGGGCCCGGCTGCCTGGTGGCCTCTTGCTGGCTGCTCACCGCAGCATGGCCTAATGACAGCTGCAGGCAAGCTTCTCTTTGGAAAGAATTTCATATTTTCTGCAAACATTATTGAAAATAGGAAATCCAGTTAGGCACATCGAGTCTGAGAAGGGGGCTGTGGCCTTGAGTGGAGAAGAGCAGAGATGCACAGGGACATGGTGCCTGTGAGGGAGAACTGAACCAGGAGTTGCAGGAACCAGGATGTGCAGAAGTTCCCAGAGAGCAAAGACCACACCACGACGTCTGCTCCAACTCTGATTTATTGAACATTACAAAATACTCTGCATATATTTTCACATTAAAACAATATTCTTGCAAATAACATATTAAGTCTTGAGTCATTTGTGGTGCCCATGGCTACAGAAAACACTGACCCAGCTAGAGATTTAGTATGGCCCAGTATCAGAAATCAAAACCAGAATAAGGCATACCAGAAATGCAAAACTATATAAAAACCTTTTAAAAACCTCATGCTCATCTGGTGGAACAGGTACAGAGCAGAACAGCCTTTGCTGAGCCTTGCTAACAGTACCGGGGGGTACCATCAGCTCGCTTGCCCCACATTGGGCTCACTCACCCAGTGCATCTAAGTGTCCCCTTGACACCCGCTGTCTCAGCATGCCCACATACTGGAATAGATAATTAATTACCTGCTTTGGGGCATTAAGAGCCCAAGGCCCCATTCTTCCCCAAGAGAAGCATCCCCAACCCTCCCACATTGCCAGTGCCCAGCTGCCATGCCAAGCTTTTGCATGCAGAGCAGTTCTTGGGCAGCAATTCTCGGCCCTTGGGGTCACACCAGGAATAATTCACTGTGTGGGCCATTGCCACCGGGTCCCACCACCCTCTCAGGAAGGACCAGGGATAGCTGGGTGGCAGGTGGTGGGGACAGACCTTTGAAGATGCACTTGGCTCTCGCCCATGACCCCTGTTCCTCATGTACATTCATACCTGCTGCTTGCTCCGCTCTGTGCACCATGACCAGCCCTCCCAGCTGATGGGCCCCAGGCAACTGGAGGGACTGAGACGTGGGCAGGATGAACGCCAAGGATGCTGTGCAGGGCAGCTGCCTCCTAGCAAAGCCAGACAGCTGAAAACCACAGCTATTGGGGATACATCCAGACAACAGGCGTGAGGCTGGCACAGCAGGTTGGTTGCTAGAGGAGTCCCTGTGCATACAGGTTCACTAGTCCGGCTCCTGGTGGAGCCAAACCCCAGGAGCGCTGCTCCCAGTCCTGAGAAGGTCACGGCCTTGCCTCTGTGGTACCTCCATAACCCAGGGAATGCAGAGCTGCCGTGGCAAGGAGCCTACCTCTGGCCTCCTGGCTTTGCTCCATGCATGCTGTGAGGAACCAACACTGTAACCACCTTGAAGTCAATGGCTCGGTCGCTGTGTGTGGATGGGCTCTTGTGCACCAGCCGTCACTCCCAGCCCTCTCCGCAGAGGTCTCCTACTCACAGCCAGGCTGGAGATCAGCTCATGCTCCTACACCCGCAAGCAGCCACGGCCCGTTAACCAGCACCTCCACACCTCAGGGCAGCACAGCCATGACGGGATGGAGTCTGGCTGGGATCCCAGCCCTGGGAGGAACATCTCTGGCCTCCCAGCTCCAGAAATGTGTAGGGACCAGAGAGGAAGAATGAGGTTTGGGGTCAGTGCCTCCCTGGGTGGACAGGGATTGTTGGTACCTGCTGTTGCAGCATGAAGCCCAGTTATTGACCAGTTTTGCATCATTAGGTGTATGGGCAAAGCCCACCCTGGAGTCCAGCTCTGGGAGGAGTACTGGGCTCTCCTGCCACTCCTGGAGTTTACGGAGACACACACAAGCTTTATAATGCAAGACAGCAGAGCGGTCAGTGGGTTGCAGCCCGTCCGCAGCCCCCAGCCCCTTTCCCATCCACAGTCTGCCTCAGAGGTGGCTTGCTCTGTTGAACATCAGCCATCTGGGCTCCGTGGCAGGCAGCATCCTGCCCTGCTCCTCTGTGGCCATCAAAGGCTGCAGCTCCTGCTGCTCAGCGCCATCCGGGCTGCTGTCACTCTGCGACCGGCCGCTCTTAGAGACATGGCTGGGGAACTGGAAGCAGGAGCCCTGCTCCGGCATCACCTGGCTTGCAGACTGGGGTTGTTCCTCCAGCACAGGGCAGGCGAATCTCCTGTGCTGAGGTCCGCTCTCGACGCCTGGGGGGGAAGCGATGCTCTCCAGGGAGGAGATGCTTTGGTTCCACGCCTTCTGCATATCCACTGGGACAATTTTGGTGGTCTCCGAGGAGACATAAACAGCCAGATCAGCCTGGTCTCCTTTCCACGGCAGCTCCTTCTCTGCCAAGGTGGGCGATGGCGGGATGATGCAGGGGCTGGGGCAGACATCCAGGCTGCCTGGGGATGCAGAAGGAGGGACAGTGAGAGGGATCTTGCACAGCTCTTGCTCTCTCTCTGGGCCCTGCAAACATTGCAGAACCAGCTGGCCCAGGGATGCAGGAGCTACAGGGAGGCTTTGCCATGCCTCCAGAGCCACAGAGAACAGCGATTCTCCCATTCATGCTCTGCTGACTTTGGTTTTGCCCAGGCCAAGGCGACTTTGCTCCCCAGGTGGAGGAAGGACAAGCTACCCAATGGCAGATGCACTGGCGTGGGAGCATCGGTGCCTACCAGGAGTTGTCTTTCCCTGTAGGACCTCATCAGTGGCTCGAGCGATGAACACAATCCCTTCGTCGTCCTCTCTCTCCGTCTCCGAGCTATCGCTCTCCTCCTCCTCTGAGCTGACCATTACAAGGACAGGAGCTGCAGACAGATGGAGGGAGTTGGTTTGGAGGTTGGAGCACCCTGTGGGGAAGGACTGCACCCATGGGAGAAGGACTTGGTGCTAGCACAACCCTGGGTGCTGTCATGCCACCAAGCTGGCAGCAGGCAGGCACAGCGGGCTGCTCTCATCCCACCCCACCATGTCCCCTTGCCAGGACCTGCAAACCTCACCTGCCACTGGCCTTACCTGCCTCCTGCCAGGGGACATTTCTGTGCGTCTTCCCATTGGGTGCCTCTCTGGTCAGAGAGATGTTCTTCTGCAAAGGAAGAGGGACTGGCTGGGACCTGCCCCGCGCAAACCCCTAATCCCAACCCAGGTGGCCCTGCAAACCAGGGTAACCCTGGGGACGCAGATTCCCACCCCAGCTAGATGGCAGCTGTCAGTCAGTGGTTCCTAGTCCTCAGGCATTGTGTCTTCATGGCCCTACAACAAACAGCTCAGCTGCAATGGCTTCAAAAGCCTCCAGATGAGAGAAGACACCTAAGGCTCAATTTAACGTGCACTGCCACACTTCTGAGCCTGGATCTGCACCGATGTTCAGGCTACTTTATGCTGAGTGCTCTTGGAAAACAAACGTGGGGCTCCTCCAGGGCTTGGGACTGCTTTGCCTAGGGAAGAGCCACTCCACGGCAGTGCTGGAGTTGCGGGGACACGTGGACATGCGACATCCGTGAGCTCACACACAGCACACGCAGGACTGAGATGAGCTGTTTTCCCTGCTGGCTCTGGAGCTGCCGATGCCCTGCAGTACCTCACCTACACCCCAAAGGACTTCACTCTCTGCATCCTGGGGGAGGCCAAATCTCAGAGCTAGGAAATGATCAGGAGGTTGGGGAGTGCTTGCCTTTTTCCTGCCCTTTTCCTTCAGCCTGGCCTTGTTCTTGGAGGAGCAGACATTGTGCTTTGTGGACTTGAAGGTCTCCAGCCGCCTCTTCATGTTCTGCCGGAAGATTTCTTTATCTTGGCGCTCTTGTTTATCTGGAGAGATGAAGTGACGGCTGTAGCTGGCCTTGTACTGGCCGAGGGAGAGGCAAAGAGACACAGGGTGAGCAGCTGGCCCCACAGAGCATCCTCCATCCCTGCTCCTCTCGCGGGTGCTGCTACCCTCAGGGTCAGCCGCGCACCACGGCCAGGGAGTGCTCACCCGCCGGCGGGGCTTGTAGAGGCTCCCTCGCAGCACATGGTGCATGGCAGCATCCTCCTTGTCCCGGCGGCTCCGCACTGTGTCAATCACCTGCAGGTCCAGGCATGCACCACTCCCGCTCTCCCTCCTGGCGGGGAGATGGAGATGGAGGGAGGTGGAGATGGAGATGGCAGAGCTGGGCTCCATGCCTGTATCCTGCCAGCCCCCTGCCAGCCCTGGCACAACCCAGCCCCAGGGAAGAGGGCAGCTGCGGGGGGTCTAGCAAGGTCTGCCCAGGGGATGCTCATACTCACAGGAGGTTTGTGACCGACGACTCCGACATGGACGTGCGGCTGGGCATGGAGGGCAGTGCCAGCTTGGCAGCTGAGAGCACGTGGCCACCCTGGGAGGTGGGAGGGCAAGGCTGGCATCAGGGCAGCAAGGACCCAGCTGGGCTTGGGGGTCCCCACTGCCTGGCCAGAGGGTACACGTGTGGCCATATATGGTGGGGACTGCCACCCCAGGCCAGCTGGCTCCCATCAGGGCCATCCCGCTGCCCAGCTCTCACCACATGCCCCTACCTGGTCGACAAAGCTGATAGCATCACGGATGTTCAGCTTGTAGTAAACATCCCAGATCTCGTCCCGCAGCCTGTAGGCAGATTTCCGCATCAGGAGCTGGCTCAGGTACTTCTTGTCGAACTGTTCCCACCTGCCACAAGATGAAGACAGGGGCGGTTTAGCTCCCAGGGTACCACGGCCAGGGACCCCCTGCCCACGCAAGGTTGAGAGTGTCCAAAGCGTGGCGAAAGCAGGCTGGGCATGCAGGACCTGGCTGTGCCCAGGGACATGCTGCCAGCGAGAGCAGGAGGGGAGGGGACATGCTGACCCTTCGTCCCTGCCCAAGGGGAAGCCAGAGACCAGTGCGTCTGTGGGAGGCGATGGGAACGGGACTGGGGCTAGTGTGGCTGCCCTGCTGGAGTGCTTCCCCTCCAGGAAACAGGCTTTTCGCATCCTTTTCCTGTCACAGTGCTGCAGATAAACACTGCCTAGGCTTTAACAGGGCTGTTCCCTCCTCAGCGCTCAGCGCAGCTCCATCTGTGGGGAGGCATAGGGCCATCACCACCACCATGGACACCCCATGGCCCTCCAGCCACTCCGGCATGGGCAAGCAATGCCAGCTCTCACAGCATTCCCAGCTACACCCACCCAATCTCTCTCTGGGATGCTTTGGGACCTCAGTCTGCTGCACAACAGCAGCCAGATGGTCCCTTTCCAGATGGACTGATGGACATACAGCCTTCCTGGTCCTGCTGCCATGCCTACAGCAGAGGTGTCCTCCAGTGGGGACCCTGCAATGTCCCCATGGCTGGCATGCACCCCCATCCACCTGATGGCTGGCAGAGGATCCTGGCTAAGACACTCACTTGTCCCGCCAGTAATGGTAGCCATGGTGCCCCACGATGTCCTCCACCGCTGCCAGGATGTGGTCAAAGGCCTTGAGTGAGGACAAGAGGGTGAGAGTGGTGGCAAGGCTGCAGGTGCCCCTGGGGGTGCTGAGACCATGCATTGCCCTCACCCAGCCCCAGCGGTGCAGGGAGCCAGGCAGTCTCCAGCACCAGCACCTACGTGCTCATGCAGCTCCTCGTTCAGCGTGGGCTTGTGGTGGTCACTGCGCTTCACCTTCAGCCATGTCACCAGGGGTTTGATAGTGAGGCCCTGGAACAGCAGGAGAAGGCAAGGGAAAGACTGGGAGGGCGAGAGGGTGCGTGGCTGGGGCACGGGGAGCAGAAGCAGCACGAAGTGACCGGGAACAGCAGCTGTGCCAGCCATGTGTGCCCCTACCAACCCAACCCCCTGCCTCCAGGACCTGGGTGATGGTCCTGTGTCCCAACAGGCAGTGACCATGTCATACCCCCCAAGTTCCCCCCCTCCAGGCTTGCATCCATCTGCTGTGCGGCTACCCTTCCTGGGGCACAGGTACCGCAGAGCCAGGGGCCATCAGCAGCTTTGTAAAGAGAACAGCCTGGCCAGGCACACGCCGTTGCTGCTCTTGGAGCCAGTCCCAGAACAAGAGGCCAACAGGGAAACAACATGGGCCATGGCCCCACCATCGTGACAGATGCCGCGGCGGTTTTGGTGACGGATGGGGTGCCAGGAGGCACTGAGGACCAAAAGTCACTTGAAAAGAGGTACTTGCCCCAAGCACATGTCCCCATGCACTCGCCTGGCCCCCAAGGCCAGCTCTGGGGCAAGAAGGCAGCACTGGAGGAGGGCATGGTGCCCATCCTCACCTGCACAATGACAGTGAAGAACACCACCACGATGGTTGTTGCCACAAAGTAGTCCTTGGCTTTCACCTTTGTCCTGTCCAGCAGGATGACCAGGGCAAAGGCCACGGCCCCCCGGAGGCCACCATATGACATGACCACCTGGTCAATCCTGTCCAGGGGGATGAGGCGGAAGTGGTTGAGCACACAGGTCTGGAGGACAACGCCTAGGGAAGAAGTAGAAGGAGAGCGTGGGATGCTCGCAGCACCTGGCCTGCTCCTGGAGACAACGCAAAACCCCAGCCAGGAGCTGCCCCAGCCTTTCTTGGGGGATACCACTTTTTGGCATGAAAAGGGCTGGGTGCTACTGGCCAGAAGCACAGTGGGGCAGACTGACCCACAGCTCTGAAGAGCAGGATAAAGAGCAGGGTGCCCAGCACCAGTGCTGTGTCCCATGCCCACTTGGAGGTGTCCACAGCCGAGATGCCCAGAAACATGAAGATGATGGTCTCTGAGCTGCTGGCCAGGGTCTTCATGGTGTACTTGACCGTGGTGCGGGATTTCTGGGAGATGTTGGCTTCCACGTACTTCTTGCAGCAGATCCCACAGAAGGTGACTCTGCGGAGGGGCAGAACGAGCTGGCATGACCCTATAGCGGGATGAGGAGTGGGTCTGCTCGCCTCCTCTTGCTGCTCAGCACTGCACCCCTGATTTCCCAGACCCCACCGGGGGACACCCTAGTACTCACGCCAGGATGGAGGAAAGCGAGACCATCTCAGCAGCAAGGTATGCAACATAGGCCAAGAGGAAGACGAAGAGTGGCTCAATGATGCGCACACGCTTGGTGAACCGCGTGATCAGGGCCAGGAGAAAGGCAAAGAGCAGCCCCACGGCCGTGCCCCCAAGGCTCACCAGGAAGAAGGAGGCTGGTGGGGGGAGAAGACTCATTTGCACCATAAGCAAGCAAGCCCAGCTCTTGTGCCCCGCAGCCATACCATGCTGAGCTGGCCAAGCCCCATGCTCCCATGGGGGTCCCCACCAAAGCACCCCATGATGATGGCTGGCATGTGACCACTGGGATGGAGGTGACAGAGCTGTGGTGCTCAGTGCCCACCCCACTGCATGACAGCACCCGTGCTTGCCCCCCACGCTTCCATACAGGAGGAAGAGGTGGAGGGGCTGGTGGGGCACATACTCACCTACCCCCTTCACGTAGTCAGTGGCATGGATGTGTGCTGGGCCCAGCTCCACAAAAGAGTTGAAGACCTTGTACAGCACCTGCAGGCAAGGCAAATCCCTTGGGGAAGGCAGAGAATTGCCCTGCCTTGAGAGGGGCAGCACCTGCAGGCAGGATGGACCCTGCAGAAGAGGCATCGCCTGCCCCAAATCTGCCAGGTGACACAGCTCATCTCGGCAGGCAAAGTCCCCCAGGGCCAGGAGAGAGGAAAGACCAAGAGAGCATAGCATGGGTCTGCCTCCGACCTGGGGATGTCACCTGCATCCTCTGCCCATCCTGGGGGACTCCAGTGCCCTGGCCCACGTCGGGCTCCACATTAGGGTCCCCCAAGCTCCAACTCACCACGGTGACAGCATCATTCAGGAGAGACTCGCCAAACACGATGATGAAGAGGGTCTCATTTACATGGACCTCTTCAAAGACGGCCAGCACTGCCACGGGGTCCACAGCTGAGATGAGGCTGCCGAAGAGCAGGAAATCCATCAGCCCAGCTTCAACGCCTGGATCTGCTAGGACAGAAGGACCAAGCTCAGGCACACTGTCTGCCCCAGAGCCTCTCTCACCAGGCTGAAACAAGCCTGTCCCTCATCTAGTCCCGGTGACTTGGCTACAGCATCCCAACTTGGAGTGCAATGGGCTGAGCCTGGGAGTGCTCCCAGATCTCCGGGGTCCCCCAGGCAAAGCAGGGCTCAGCACACCCTTGCTGCAACATGAGGGGAGCAGGGCTTGGATGTCCCCCTTGGCACCCAGGTGCATCACGGCCCCTCTGGCAGGTATGGACCGAAGGAGGCTTAGCAGCCCCACCTCAGGTCCAGGCATCAAGTGGTTCCTCGGGGCTCAGGAGAGCTAAAAACACAGCTCAGACCAGCCAGGGCCAGTGGCTCCAGCCAAGGACGGGGAACATGGCAGCAAGCCAGCAAACCTAGCCAAGGTCAGTGACAAAAATAGCAAAGATGTGAGTCAGCCCAGTGCCGAGCAGGGCCCATTTGTCCTGAATGCTTGACGGTCCTGCCAGAGCACTGTTCCCAGGATGCCAGGAGCCCACTACTGCTATAATTCCTGGGAATCCATGGCAGGGCCGGGCAGTGGGCTCTGAACTTGGGGATGCTTTGCACCTCCAACCCATCTTCTGGGGATGTGGTCCAAGCTGGGCAGCCCTCTGCACCCACCCATGAGCCCGGCTCGGTGCAGCCCCCAGAGCGCAGCGCCGGTGGTGAAGGAGTTCCAGAGCGTGCCCACCACCGCGTAGGTGAGGATGGCACCAATGTTGTCAAAGAACAGCCGGCTGGGCATGAAGTAGCCCGAGTCTAGGACGATGGGGGGCAGAAGGAAGAGGAAGAACATGTTGGGCTCCAGCTGGTACTCGGCTTTCTTTGCCACAGCCAACACGATGCCTCCCAGGCCCAGCCCCAGCAGGATGAGGAGGCAGCTCTCTGGGACGATGGACGTCACCTTCCTTGACAGGTGGAAAACTAGAAGGAAAGGAAGAATGAGAGCATCAGCCAAACAGGCACATGGACAGAGCATCCCAGATCCACAAACTCCACAGAAGGGTTGGTTATGCACAATGGACCCTGGGGAGGACAAGGGAGCATCTAAGGCTGCTTCATGGCCATGTGTGTGCAGAAGACCTTCCAGCTACTCCCAGATCAGGATTTCAAGTCCCTGACTCTTTGCGATCTCCATCTCCTCCTCAGCCACTGTTTAATAAGCTAAGCGGCTAGCTATTTTGCTTTTCTTGGCCTCTGGTATATGCACTTAAAGGATAAAAGCAGCCAGCAAGCACATTCACAGCATCACAAGCAATGCTGGCTGCTGTTTGAGACAAGGCATCCTGGTTCACTGGGACACGTTACCCCACTCAGAGACGAGGACACTCAGCCCTGGTGATGGGGTGACCTTGTTTGCAGCCATCTGAGCAAGCAGACAGAGCAGCATGCAAACCACTGCAGCACAAGCCAGTCAGACGGTCTCTGTGCCAGAGCACAACCTTCCTTAGCACCAGCTAACCTACCTGCATGCAAAAAACAGGCACACGGGAGCTGCAGATTTAGAGATGCTTTGAATAATCAGTGTATTCCATGAGAGGTTTGGACCAAATCTTAAACTGCCGTGGAACAGGATTTATTTTTTAAAGCAAGCAGAGTGTGCCCTGGTATTCATCCATCAGCAATGTGGCAGTGAGCCTGCAGCTTAGGCACAAGCCAGCAGGACGTCACGCCAGCCAGCACAGGGGAATTGCTCCTCCAGGCAGCCTTGTCCCCAAGGCCAGAGTGTCCTGTGTAATCCCAAATCATTCCAGCTTCCAGGTGGGCAACGCCCCATCCCTGCGGATTTCTCCTCCCTAGCGCAGGGTGCTGTATTTTTGCTACCCCCAAAGGGCAGTGCTTGGGGAAATGCTGTCGAGGGTCACAGCGGTTTTGCCCTCGCATCATTGAGTTCTGCCATCGCTTGTGACATCCAGCCCAGCTCTGCATGACATGACCATCAGATGAAGAAACCTTCTCCTGGGGAGTGGGCTCCTCCAGGCACTTCCAGAGCCACCTCTGTCCTTGAGCACCCAGCAGGTACAAGGGACATGAGGGTAGCCTCTGAGCCATCACTTGGCTGCAAGCCCACCCCTGCGGCCAACCCAAAACCCAGTCCCTAAAACCCTTTAGCTGGATTAAAGGTGCCCATTGCTTGTGCCAAGTCATCCCACCAGAAGGAAAGCTGTGCTGTGGTCACAAATCAACCCTAGGTCACTTGGCTTCTTCCCTCCTTAGGAACCCCTGTGGACAGACCATAAGGTCTGCCTAGCCCAGGGTCCTGTCTTCAGTGGCGTGACCTGGAGAGAAGCCCAGGAACAGGCAGTGCTTCATCAGTAGGTTTCCATGTCTCTCTGCCCTTGTCATTCTCCTCTGAACCTGTCCCAGTCCTGCTCTATCCTTTCTGGGATGTGTACCAGTGTCCCTGAGATGCGGACACCCCGAGAACTGAGGTTGTAGCCTCCTGATGTTCTCCCTTTCTCCTTTCCTAACACCTCTTAGTTAATTTGCTTTCCTTCACTGCAGCTGAGCACTGAATTAGAGCAAATAATTCAATGTCAAAGATCCAATCCCTAACCAGACAACATCTTTGAGCCCACCACTGAACATGCAGGCTAAGGGGGTCACTTTTCCTCTTACTGAGACCCTCACAGCAACCTGCGCTGCTCCTTGGCACAGTAAGCCCTGTCCGTGTCATCCTGGCAAACCCCGGCACTGCTCCCCTGGCATAACATGCCGGGAACACTGCCACAGCCAGCAAGGGCAGAGCGGTGAGCACCGGGCTGGTGTGATCTGCAGCTCCATCACCAACCACCTCAAGGGAAAAGAGCTGCAGAGCACCCAGGGCCAAGCCTCTGCCATAGCTCTGCAGCCAAGTGCCCCAGCCACAGAGCCCAGGGCATCCACCCTCACCTCCAGCCACCTCCACTCGCTGCCAGCGGCTGCAATTCAGCCACCGAAGCAGTGGCAATATGGCCACTACAGCCCTCCAAGCAAACCCACAGCCCGGAGGAGGGCTGACTGAGCTCCGGCCCAGCCAAATTCCTGCTAAATGACCGCACAAGCCGCAGCAGAGCCCTGTTCACCCCACGCGAGCTCGGCGAAGGCAGTGCCGGTGGGCGAACAGCGCTCGCTCAGCGCCTGCAGCAGGCTGCGAAACCGCTTCCCACCCACGGGAACAAAGCTCTGAAGTTTTCAAGAAGGGAACGAGGCGTCCAGCCCCTTTCTGCATGCTCGGGAGCACTGCCAAGATCCCCGCTCCGTCAACCCATCTGCACTCCCCATACTGCAGATAGATGCCCTGGCTGGCTGGAGAGACCCAGGAGAGCCCACAGAGACGCCATGGGGACATGGCTCCTGGCTGTCATCCGTCATTCATTCCCCTGAGCCAAAAACTTGGGCAAAGAAGGGAGCAGCATCGATGGGAAAGACCCTGCTTGTCCAAAAATCTCCTGGCTGAGCGGAGATGCTGCTACCCTCCTGAGCAAATGGCAGCACACGAGCTCCTCTGTGCCGCAGGGAGTAGCCAGTGGGGACGGGTGGAACAAGCTCTAATTTTACACATGCTAGTCAAGGATTTCAGCATTAAAGGTTCCCACAGCAACAGTAACTTAGCCACATGTGAATTAACTTCAGAGCCATAATCCACACTCAGGCATCCATAATATAGGATTTGCCATTGGGAGGACTCAGGGCCAAAACCTGCTCCACTCCTCCAGTGCTTGGGAAACGGTGAAACACCTAAACCAAGACACAGGCAGCTGGGGACAGAGGTGACGGTGCAAGGACAGAAGGTTGTGACCCATGGGGATGTTGCTGGGTGGAAAAACATCCATCTGCTGGCAAACCCCTGCCCATGGGGCAATGCTCATCACTTCCCTCTTCCCCACATCCCATTCAAGCAGATCTGTGCTCTGCCCAAGTACGGAAAAGGCAGCAAAGCCCGGATGATGCCTTGCTGTGCAGGAAGGCAACACCCAAGCCAGTTTTTTCCCCGCCCCGGGTGTTTGCTGGCTCGGGGCACCCCGGCATCGTGACCGCCTCCGAGAACAGAGCCTGCAGTGTCATTTCCCCATCGCCCAGGCATGGGGCCGCTTCCTCCCCTGCAGTCACAGGGCTGTGAGCTGGCAGCCCAGCACCGCAACTGCAATGGCTCCTCTGCGCCAGCCTGCGCCCAGCGTCCACAGCCACCGCAGCCGACGCTGTCCCCTCCACTCCCCAACATCCTCCGCCCCCAGCTCCATCTCCTCTGTGGGCTCCTGTGCATGCATGAAGTCGCATGCCACCTCGGGGGACACCCCTGCCAGGGTGCTGCCCACAGCCCTGCCTCCAGGTCTGGGTGTTGCTCCTGGCTCCAGGCTCTGAAAATCCATCGGACGCATCGGATGCGCTGAACCAGGCAGCCCAGAGCTACCGACCATCAGGGTTGCGTCTCCCAGATGGAGAGGGAGAGTGGCCATCAGCTCACCTCAGGCCTGGAAGAACGTGGCAGGGCTGTGGGCTTGGGAATGACCCCAGCTCAGGCCCCCCTGCACCCACTGGCACTGCTGAGGCAAAGGCAAGGGTGGTTGAGGGGAGCATGTCAAGGGAAACCCAGACAGGGAGCAGCTCCACAGAGACATTTAAGAGAATAAAATAAGAGCCAGGGAAAGGAATCATCTCTCTGATCTTCTGCAGGTAGGAGGGACGTGCTAGGCAGCTGGAGGTGGCACAGCTGCAGACAGAGGGTTGTATTTTTAAGCTCACGACGCCCTTTAATTCATTCCTCGCGATGCTTTAGGTATCCCTTGCGAGAAGGCAAGGAAGGAGAGGAGCGCAAGGTCCATGGCAGTGGTTTTGATGATGCTTGGGACAGGCAGAGGCCAGCTGGTGGTCACAGCTGTAGCTCTCCCCTGAGTACTGAGAGCTGCTGCTAGTCCCTGGCTGCTCAAAGACTCTGAACCTGTGTTTCTTGAGCCAGTTCCAAACTAAGAGGGTGCCTGCACCCCTGCTGTGAGGGCTGTGCCCACAGTGGGGGCCTCCAAGGAGGAACCCTGCCTCAAGGTCACGGTCTCGTCCCCTGGGCCCAGCACAGCAGGCAGGGAGACTATGAGGGACCAGCCTTCTAGGGACCCTGCTCAGCACCCACACGCGGGTGTCCCGTCCCCAGCACCCAGGGTGCTGGTGGGGGGCAGAGCCCTGCGGCAGATCACACACATCCTCCTCGCACCTTCCCACGCAGCCTCCCGCAGCGGAGCCTCCCCCCGGCTGTGCGGTCCTGTGCTGGGGAGCACGAGAGCCCGAGGCCATGCGGATCCAGAGCGACCCACCGGAGGGGTCCACAGGCACAGACCCACGCCCAGGCTGTCAGGGCCACATCTTGCCAACGCCGGTACCACCGAGCCCTTCCCAGAGCTGGGGGGGATCGAACAGCTTCGGGCCCTGCCGACGGCATGTGCTGCGCCAGCCTTTGGTGCATGGGACGTCCTTTCGGGCACCTCTTCTCCTCCAGAACCCTCCCTCCTCTGCGCCCACCCATCCATCCCTCACAAGGAAAACGGGCCCCAAGCCTCCGCGTTGTCCCTCGGGCTGTACCTTCACCTCGTCACCACTCACTATCCCACGGAAGGGGATGGAGGATGTGGCGCGTGGTCGTGCCAGGCCACCGCAGCCCAGCTGAGGATGGTGACCAGCCGGCCTCTGGCCATTTGTCCCCATGACCCGTGTCCTGCTGTGCGGTGGCACCCCTCGCCCCAGCTACCCCCTGCGCCCACCGAGGATGTCACATCCCACCCTGCGTGCCCCGGGGGTGGGCGCAGCTGCTCCCGGAGCCCCGGGCGACCGGGGAGGGGGGGTACGACACACGACACGACACGGGGGACACTCACCGATCTTGGCCAGGCTGGCCACCAGGATCCAGGCGGCCACCAGGCAGGGCGCCTGCACCTCCCGCCACTGCCACCGCAGCAGCTCGGCTCCCGCCGGGGCGGCGGGGCCGGGGGAGGCCGCCGGGGGCTGCATGGCC